TCAAAAAACAATATGGTTGATTTGTTCTCTAAACTTAATTTGTTTTCCTTCTCCCTCGTTTTATTCCACTTTTTCCCATTATTCAAGCATTGGCCATTGGATTCATCTAATCAACCCTCCCCCAGAATATAGAAATCCTGTTCTAGCATTTGTAGTGAGGAATCAGACTATACTTGAATGTAATATAGAACCTTTTAAGGCAACCTGGACTGTTTCAGTTTTATGCTTGCTTTATATTGTTCATAATTTGCATCAGGAGCCCCGGGAGATCTGAATCAGTGAGATAATGGTTGGAATAAAGTTAAAGAGAGAATTTGAAAGTTTAATATTTTATTCATGTATAAAAGTAAAAGTTCAGTTATATTTTAATACTTTGATCAGTAATAGTATGGATGATTTAAAACAGTGTGAACAGCCTCTAAATGTGTAACATTGGATTTTAGAGTGCATATATGTTGTAGTTTTGTAATATTTTTACTTTCCAAATTGCTCTTTAAGCCACTATTAAAAATAATTGTAGACCCTAAGAATATATGACAAAGTGATCTGGAGTTGTCAGCTTGGTATTAATGTATTAATTAGCAAGATAGATAATAGTCCTTCAGGTAAATGAGAGATTTTAAGTAATTCAGTAACTAGTAATTAATTTTTAAAACTAGATATGTCATTTTAAGGTACAATTTAAATACTTTAGGTATGTGCTATGGATCTTGAACATGATGCCATTTATAATATCTAAAGGTTTAAGTATACAGAATATAAAGTGTTCTAGCATTCTAGTTTGATACATCATTAGCTCAAATAGAATTAGGAATACGAAGTCATTCTTTTTTTTTTTTTCAGTTCTTGATGATGGTATTTATTCTTCTCATCTACTCAAATCTTATTTTCTGATTTTTCAGTAAAGTATGAATGAGTCATGTTGATTTTATTTGAAGAGAGAACTTACNGCATATACCTAGGGGAAATGAAATGCCCAGCATTGTACTAGTACTAGTCGTTGTGGTGATGGGTGTTAACAGAGAATGTTTACGAGCTTAAGATGCTTATACTCACTATAATATAGAATGAATAACACTGGTGTACCTTAAATAATAGAAGTATGAAATAGAGTAAGGTAAAGTTCAAAAGATGATAAAAGAAGGATGTTTTTTCTGTTCAAAGTAAAAGTTCATGTTTATGCTTTAGGGACTCGATGTCTCACTGAGGAGGTGGTATTGGAGACAGACCCTGCTTAGATGGCTTAGGTTTTAACTAACGTAAAGCAGTGAGTGGAAAGGGCATTTTAAGTAAAAAAGAACAAGCTACAGGGTTGGGAGAATGTAGATTAGCAAATAGGTAGTTATATGTGACCGTGATATAGATACCTAAAGAAAATTGGTAGTGTGAAATAGGAAACATAGACTTGAGTCATATGATAAAGGATTTTGGTTGTAAACTGAGGAATTTGTAGGCAGTAGAGGTGTATTAAAGGTTTGGTTTTTAAAAAATTGTTTGCTTTTGTATGGTTTGGTGTTTATGTAAGGCAAAGGTGAAAAAAACTTATGAATCCAAATTAGCATGGTCAGGTGGGACACAGAGTAATTATACTAGTTGGGCTACTGTAATAGTTTAAGAAAAGGGAGAAAGGGAGGAAAAGGGCCTGAGTTAGAGTAATAACAATAAGGGAAGAAGAGTAAGGAGAGAGTTTTGGAAGGACAGTGCTTGAACAGAAACATCTTTTCTTGTATATACTTAAATAAATACGAAAGGCAGGATAGATATGTTTGAAGAAATGATTTTTATTTTTAGTAAAAATAGATTAATAGTTAATTATATAAAATACTGTCTTAATGTCTTCCCCTTTAGGGCCGGGAAGAAGATCCACATGAAGGCAAAATGTGAGTTTGTGATAATTATTAAAAGGAAAAAAATATTGTAAACCTACTAATTGGATAACTTTGGCCAAAAAATATTTTAAAACAGAATGGATACTTTTTGGACTGACTTCTTATTTGGTTCAGGAACTGATGTCTAAGTATTTTCTTGAGGACCTACTGATATAGTCTTATTTTTAAATAATGANTTTTGTTTTTTGAAAACTAGAACAAAGTGTGTGTTACTTCAAGGGAAATAACTGGGGCAGTATTTGTTGCCAATGACAAAATTTGAGCTTTCAAGCAAAAATTGGGAGTTTTGGAAACCCTATCTCTGCCATCAGGAGTTTGACAGCTTTTCAAGTACTTGATTACTTCTTGATGAGATCATGGTAATATTAAAGAATGTGATGTTTTGATAATGTGTAAATGTGTTTACATCTGGAAGATCTGCATAGCTCAGGGAACCACTATTGTCTAAATGTTCAAGGATGATGTTACGAAGTTACGCACAGGTAAAAGATCCATTTAAAGTATATGACAGACAAATAGATGTTATTGGAATGAGTACAGAACATTCAGTGATATATAGTTTTAGATTCTACATTGCAACTAACCTTCAAGTAAGTACCTCTTGTTGAGTTTTTGGTGTAACATAATCTACATTTATCTGAAAGGCTAATTGTGCTTATTTAAAATAAATTAAAAAAAATAACTATATATTGTGTATATGTAATGAGTTAGTTTATTTTATGTTTATAATTTTATAGCTAACCTACATCTGAAAGAGTAATAACATTTAAACTTAAATTTTCAAATTGTTTTCTTGGAGTTAACCCCAAAGCCGTCATACATATAATTACTGTGTACAAAAATTCCAATTTGAATCTAACACTATCCAGTGATGTGCATAATACAGGTACCTTTATTAAATCCATTTTACCCATGAGGAAAGTAAGATTCAGATTTTTAAGTGTCTTCAAAGTTTTATATGTGGATAATGCCAGAAATAGGACAAAAAAATCTAGGGTATTTGACTTTAGTCCCTTGCATTTCCCAATATCATAGTCTCTCTGTGTGGTGAGGTACAGGATTACTCACATTTCCATGTTTAAAATTTTTAATTCATTTTAATAATTTAATTGCTTTTTTCAGTTTCTTAAAAGGAGATATGTTCATTGTTCATAACGAATTAGAAGATGGATGGATGTGGGTTACAAATCTCAGAACAGATGAACAAGGCCTTATTGTTGAAGACCTAGTAGAAGAGGTGGTAAGTTTTGTTCTTTTCTACTCATTCTCAGAATTCTAAATATATTGTAAAATTGAGCAGCTTACCTATCATCGGAGAAATTAGCTATGAATACATTTTTTATATGAAAAACCTCCATTCGTAAGTACAAGGAATTTTTCATTAAAATGTATTTACTGTTAGTAAATGCTATTTATTTGTAAAGAACATAGCCAAACTAGCATGTTTTAATCCATAGCTTAATATGGATTAAATTTTCAGAAGGATTTCATGCGTTTCTAAGAATTAAAAATGTATTGATATTTGTGATTATTTGTATTTCTTTTTGTCCTCTTGGTCTTCCTTGTAAATTGTGTTATGTCACACTGATCATGGAATCTTAAATTTTTTATCTCCCAAATATATGTATAATCTTCTAACCTTGTAACCTTGGAAAACCTCAGTTATGCTACACATACGTATATTATCACATGGTTCTACATTTTGAGTATTCCCCTTGTTTTCATTGTCTTCACATAATACATTATCAGTACTCTTACCACACGGTATAAATAATCATGTTTGTGCATTTTTAGATAAGAGGTCAGCATTCCAGCAGCATTTGTATTTCAGATAGAATACTCAGTATCACTGAAATATATCAGACCTTATATTACCAGTTTGGAATTCACTGTTTCAGATTTGTCCAGCGAAATGGAATGGTTTTCTGTTATCTTTCACAGCCCTCAGAGCTACTGTTTTTAAATTATACTATGAACCTGGAAATATGTTGTGATCTGATTATTGTTCCAGGAAGACAGCAGTGGAGAATTTTTTTTTTTCTTCTGTTAGTTCTCCTGTCTGTCTGTGATGGCAGTGAGATTTTGATATGTGAGGAAAAGTAGGCGGAGTTAAGGAAATGGTATGATGCATTCCATGTTCATAGTCACATAACTTACTTAGTAGAAGAACTGGGAGTAGAATTCCTAATCCCTAGATTAGTATTCTGTACTCTATCCCATATCAGCAAGAAGTATTCAAACTGAAGAGTTTTACTGTGTCTGTTGGTTTTACGACAAAATTTTTTAGTTAAAACTTCTTTGTTGCATTTTCCTCTCCCTGCTGTAACCCTCCTCCCCCCATTCTGATTATTTAAAGGAATTACAGTATACTTGAACTTTTCTCAGCTCTTAGAAT